TGAATAAGATCAGTCACATGAACAATTACATCAAAATACTTAAAGCAAAAAGCAAAAATTCCTAACCAATTACTTGAAAAATTACTCGACCCATAAGCTATCATTATCACCTATGGAGGCTTCGGTTCCCTCGACGTCATCAGTCGTATCATTAACATCTGTCAACTTTTACATCTTGATCGCCAACCCCGATGTTTGGAGGGTCCTCCATCTCCTATGGCACATCCTCAGTGGTTGGGACATCAAGGTGAACCAGTACCATATCAAAGACATCTTTTCAATGTCAAAAAATAGACGCTTGACGAAGAGCTTTGTTGAAGCCCTCCTCATGCTCAAAGACGATACCCGTTTCCAACTCAGATATCTTCTCTTTAGCCTTCGCCAAGTCGTCTGTCAGTGCCCGATTCTTCTGAAGGAGTCCCCTCTCCATTTCTTCTGGCAGGCAACTACCACCTTTAGTTGCCACACTCATCCACCAGCCGGTCATAATTGGCTCGGGCGTCGCGAAGCCGATCCGAGGCCTCAACTAAGTCCTCCTTGGCTTTATCAAGCTCGGCTTGGAGCTCATTGTTCTTCTTATCGGACTCGTCCTGAGCAATCAACATTTGCTCCATGGTCGCCCGAAGATCCTCAGAAACCTTCTTCTCGGCGAGTAGCTCGGCCTGGATGTTCTCAGCTGCCTTGCAGTTAGGAAACTCCCTAAGATACCAAGCAAGATAAGTCGCCCGGGTAGACATCTCCAGCATAGCATTTGTCAGCTCTAGCTCCGACAAGCTCTCGATCAACGACCGGTGCGTTGAACTCATGTGAAAATTCGTCCGATCACTGATGTTGAACTCGGGGCTGAAGACTCCATCTAGCAGAGACCGGGAGGAGGATCCTTCTTTGCCCTTGCGACCCTTCTTGGATGCAGACTGGGAGAAGGATCCTTCTTTTTCTTTACGCCCCTTCTTGGAGGCGGTTCGTTCCCCTTCTTTGTGATCCTTCCTCTTCCTTACAAGGGGGTTGGGTAAAGGTGGTGGCCGCCTCAAATGAGGGATCTACAAACACGGTCCGAAGGCTGTCTGGGGGCTCGTTCCCAGCAACAGCAGCGACGCCTGGGAAAACCACGGCGTTAACAGCTGAAGTAGCCTTAAAGTTGGCTGGAAGAATTGACGGCATCCGACTGGTAGAAGACTGATGAACAAATATTTAATCCCCGAGAACGGAGTCAAAAACTTGTTAACCCTCGGTAAGTGTACTGAATCGTATTAAGTGATAATAAATGGTAAGACCAAGTATCGTTTTCCAAGAGACTCACGACACTAAACAGTTATGTGATTACTCAACTAATTAAGACTCTAAAGAATATATTTTGGGGTTTTTGAATGCAAATGCAATAAAATAAACATGAATGCAATTTGATCAATTGAGGCTAAACACAAGAGTGAATGAATGAAGTTGATGATATTGTTGTTGGGGTTTAGATTTCACCTAATTTACTCTCATGTATTTATGAATTCGTCTTTTTCATTAATTCTTAATGTCACTTTCTAAATTACTTTAAACCCGATGTCTCGGTGAAGAAAGCCTAATCATAATCACTAGTTTACAATGTCTTGTCTCCCTAGCAATTAATCATGTATTATAGTGAACAGACGCTTAAAGGGAACCAACCATCATACTCCTATATTTAGGTTTATACTACTATTGGGAGAGATTCCCCAAATTTAGATTTCTCCGTATGTGTCCATATTGACAAAATCAATGATCATGACATCGAATGAGTTAAACAATGCATGCTTTGAGCAAAGAGTAAAAATTCTAACAATTAATTAAAGAAAGCATGTATCTTAAAAAAGATCTTGAAGAACAAATTCAATACATGAGAGTTTAAGAAGGTTACATCTTTCCCAACAATAATAAGGGTTAGCCCTCCATGGTCATGGAAGAACTAGATGAATAATGGAATGAAATAATGAAAGAGATAGAAAAACCCTAGAAAGAGAAGAGGAGAGTCGTCGCCATCTCCAAATCTACCCCCAAGGGGTGAAAAGTGTTTATGTGCTTAAGCCATCAAAAGATATAAACCCTAGGACATGGAAGTCCTTAAATAAAACATAAAATTAACAGAAAACTGGTCCAAGTCCATAAAAATAACAGAAAACAGATCAAAGCCCATAAAAATGGCGCTCAACGGCACTTTTGCCGCTCAGCGGTAAGTGCGACACTGGCGCTCAGCGGAATTTGGTGCTCAGCGGTGATTTCGACACTTCAAAACTGCCGCTCAACGGAAATTACCTCTCAGCGCCGCTCAGCGCAACTTTTTTTGCACTCTGGTTGACTTTTCTGCATTATGGTTGACTGATTGACTTTTCTGGTTGACTTTTCTACATTCCAACCATTCGGTACTTTAACTCTTCTTTCAAATCATTCCAATAACCTATATAATCAATTGAATCTTGTATAAAACCATTAAATTCACCTTCAACTCTCTTATTCACAAAACTAAAGCAAAAACATGAGTTAAAGCAATTTTCTAAGTCAAAAAGGATTGATTGATTATCAAAATTAAGTATAAAAATAATGGTTTTTCAACCGTTATCACAACTTTAAACTTGAAACTTTGTTTGTCCTCAAGCAAAATGTAACTTGGTTTAAACAAAATACTCATACTACAATGGTTTAGCACACCAAAAAGCATTTTCTTCTAGGACAAGTAAATCACTCATTTGCTCATCATAGAAAAATTAGTCAAGATAGAATGATGCTTTAGCCAATCAAACTTCAACTATGGTGCTCACATAATCAAGACATACGCAACATATGCAAGCCTCATCAACAACCAAGCAAGAATGTTATCATAAAGTGCATGGAACTATTCCTCACCAAAGATAATGTTTCACTCAAGCACTTAAAAGTATTTCACTCAAGCACTCAAAAGTGTTTCACTCAACTAAAAGGTGTATAATGCGGTTACACTCTTACACTCTACCATCACAATGTCACATGAATCAACTTTTCCTTTCATTTAACCACATATCAAACACACTCACAAGCAAGTTATCATCACAAGGACTTTTCAAGGCTTGTATTGAAGCTGGGCTAAGAAGAAAATTGGTTTTTCTAGACAACAAAATTCCTTGAGTTAAGAGAGTGCATAATTCATTCATTAACAATAATCTCTCTTTCTCCTTTTTTATGTGAGAAACCAATATTCAACTCATTCCCAAACTTTACTTGCATTGAGCTTAACCTTTTCTTTTCTTTCTTTTCTTCTCTGTTGCTTTTTGCTTTTGCCCAATGCTCTTTAATAAATTTCACAAAGTTCTTTTCGGTTTCTCACCACCCTAAACTTGAACCATTCTCCATTACCACAAAAACATACTCTACTTAACTCAAGGTAAGGATTTCAAAAAGGTTTTTTCCACTTTTCAAATTTAGTCTTAAGGTGCAAAGGTTAGAGAAAACATTGATCTTTATTGGGTTCACTTATAAACATTGGCTCTAAGGGAGAAGAAAAACATGGCCTTGATCATTTGTAACATGCAAGCAAGTGTTTCAATCATAGAAAATTAGGCAAATAACACTCAATCAATCAATAACTCTGAAGCCTAATCTCTCACAGTGTAACTCAAGTTCCACAATTTGATAAACATCTTGCCCAACATATTAATCATGCATATGTTTTTTTAAAAGACATGATATCTGACAAAAGAAAAAAGAAAATTCAGCTACGTTAACACCAACATATTAAAAGAAACAAAATAAACATAAAATACCATATTGAATTCCTTTCGTTCACAATCCTCATGACGAAGGCATTCGACTAAGTTGCGGGCAGAGAGGCGGTGGGGGAGAGCGTTGATGGTGCGAACGGCTTCCAAATCAACCGGGTTTATCGTACCAACCGAATACGCTTTTATTTTCCTGGGGTTCCTTGTCCAATAAAAAGGGAACAAGGGATTTCCTGCCGCATCATGAAACTCGTGGCGGCCGGCCTCGTCAATGATGACTTTAAAAAATTGGTTCTTGAACCACGCTCGCCATCACCGTCCATCGACCTCCCGCCGCTTCTGCCCGACGACTCCAAAGAAGACTCAACATGGACGACTGCCATTTATTACCTGGAGAAAAAAGAATGCTCTGAAGACGAAAGGAGAAGAAGTGAAAATGACAGCGTCCTCACCCTCCTATTTATAGGAAAAAATTTCGTAACTGTCGATGATTCCTCGCCGTAAAAAATCATCACGATTAACAGTCCAGATACGGGGCCACTTCAACTTCCGCCTCTATGCTCGCGACACGTGTATTCTCGCTCAAATTCATTTTCAAAAGTTGGTGAGCAGAAACCCAACAGAATCGGCCCAGTAGCCAAGTTGGATGGCCTCCGGCCCAACCAACGACGAGGACGACCGGTCAACAACCAGAGCCCACACACCCGTAATTAAACCCAACGTTCACTACGTGAACTAGGGATTGGGGGTTTATGTACCGTACGGACCGGACAGTCCAGAGAGTAGCACCGACACCCACCTAACTGGACGGTTGCACAAGATCGACCGATAGGTGAACTGGGTCATTAAGACTAGGATTAAGGTAAATAGTTATTAGAGCCATTGGGCTAGAAATGGGTCGTGAATAACTTTTTACCAATCTTAAGCCCATGACGAAAACTATAAATACAGATCAGAGGTAGGTAGTAGATAGGTTGTACTGACTTTGACATCGGAGAATCTTTGACAGATTCCATCCCGAACGGAAGAGTGTAACAACATAGCTTGGAGCGAGACCAGATGACAAGAAGACAAATGTAAAGGAATTTGGTAACTTAGCCCCAATAACCGAAACAAATACCAAAGTTCGGGGGAGGATATTTCTTGTTTAGCAAGGAAGAAAGAGTGAATTTGGTTTGTTAAGCATTCGGTTTTTATGTTTTTGTAAAGTACAAAAATTATTTTATTAAACCAGACCTGAGCTACCATCTTTACTTCATTATTCTACTATTAAGACTAGAGGAATTAAAACGATGGTATAAAACCAGTCTATTCAATAATAATGATGTAAACTAATCATAAAAGCTGTTTGTGATCTAAAAATACAAACATGGCAACCTTTAGCACACAAGCTGAATTGCAATTCATATACTGCTCTTCAGGATGTTCCTAGTTCTCTGTTCAAGTAGTCAATAAACATTCTTTTTGCGCTCTCTGCATCAGAAGGGGGCGGTGGCCCGCTTAAACTTGTTTGCCCTGTCAGTTTTATGAAGGTGCGTCGCATTCTACGTAGATCCGGCAGCCCAACAGACCTTGAAATGTTGATTACAGGCAAGTCTTTTCCCACGGAAACACCGTTAAGTGGTCCTCCAAGCGCTTGAGATTGTGCTTCTACTATAGCATTCGTGACTTCTTGTGTTGCTTTGTCCAATTCATACAGAGAATTTGCATCAGAAAAACGTGAGGTTTGAGTGGCAATAGTTGGTTGCAGAATCTTAACATCCCTGGTTTTGGAGTCCACCTTTTTGGTTAAGTAGGAGACAGCATCTATAATGGCAGAGGAAGATTTCTCTATCCCTTCTCTGTGTGGCCATAATTCAAACAATGGAGAATCCCACCTGTTTCTTCTTTCTGGTTTCTCAAACCTTCTCACCAAATCTTCAAAAATTGAATCATCATAACTGGCTTCTCCTTTCTCCCTGCGCTCTTCATTCCGTTTCCTACAAAAGTTTTCTTCAACGTCACAGTACACCACGCAGTATCTGATTCCAGAAGCTCGAGCCAAGCACCACAGCTCGTATCTGTAACCCTTGATGTTATTCAAAGAATCTACTACGATGATGCTATCTTTGGACACAGACCTATCTACTTCTGACCTGAGCACCCCTCTTAAATTCTTCTCTGAAGGCATGTTTGCATAGCTCTGGTTTCGATCAAGATGAAAGCAAGCTTCATCTATGATTCTCACTTGATGTTTTGATTCTGATTCTTTGAGAGCTTCAACCAAACACAATGCAGCTTTGGACTTCCCACTGCATGGCTGCCCACACATTACAACCAGTGCCATTAGAAAACAAAATTGTTATATTCTGATGCTACCGATTTCTCTTTAAAGACACAACCTGCAATATATCAATGTAAGACAAGTCAACATCAGAGAAAGAAAACCCATCATGGAAACAAATCTCCATTGTAAATAATATGTAAGCTTATTATCATCACCCAATGAATATGGACATGATTCATAAAAAGAAAAGAAAAGAAAAAAACCCTATGACAATAAAAACGTGTAAAGAGTGACACAACAATATGGTCCTGTTTACATGAACTTCACAACAAGTACTAACAGAATAAGAAAATATGAAGAAATGAAATAAACTTCTCTTTACAATAACTTGTACCCAAGTTTAAATAAGCTTTTAGAGAAGTTATCAAAACGAGTTTCTCCGGAAGTCCTTTCTAAAAGAGAAAAATAAGAAAAGATTAAATTCTACAACAGTTGAAATTAGCTTACGCAAGAGCTAATTTGAAGAAACTCTCATAAAGATTTTTCATTTTTTTTTTTTAATTTTGCATGTGTATAAGCTAATTTTCACTTTTGGAGAAGTCAAGTTCATTTTTTTCTTCTTGTTTTTTCTGGTAGAAGAACTTATAGAGAAGTTCATTCAAACAGGCCAATACACAGCGACTCCTATGCAAACGGGCGCAAGCTAATTCAAACAGAGCTAAGTTATGCATACCCACAATACCACTCCTATCAATCTACATAAATCTCAAGAGAACCACTGGCAGTGGAGTTTTCTATCAATTAACAAGAAATAATAATACCCAATAACTAAGTACGTGCATTAATAATATACCTGCCACGTTCACACGTTCAAAACACAACCAAGTAACCAAGATTATCATCACATATAAACTACAACTCGTTTGGTTTATCTTTTAGAACAACAATTTGGGGCTTTTTTTTCTGTAAAGAATATTAAACCAAAATAAAGGAATAAATAGCCACTTTGAGCTGAAAACGTTTCATAGAAGAGGTTACTTTCTACCACCCTACTACAATTATTATTGTTTTGAAATGCGAAGACGAGAGCAAACCTTATTCACATTTCATGTTACAACCAACAGTAACTCCAAAAAAGAATGATAAATTGAGATCCTAACATAGAATCAGAAATAAAATCGGTACCTTTACACACTGAGAATAAGAGGTTGAGAAGTGCACCGTCACCGTCAAATCCCCGCAACGTTCAACCTAGAGAGAGAGAGAGAGAGAGAGAATAATGATTTTGGAAGGAAGAGAGAAGAAAGGAGAATTAAGGAAATTAGGGATATAGGGTACGCTTTGAAGGAAGGAGATCAATGCTAACGCTCTCAGCTTCTCCAACAAAGGTTAAATTTGTTTAGAGGTTATTTATTTCTATATAAACAATTCTAAGAAAGATTGTTTAATTATTATTATTATTATTATATATATATATATATATATATATAATTTTAAAATAAACGTTTTTTTAACATAAAAAAGATAATTAGAATCCCCTAAAATGTAAATTGGGAATCCAAATTGCAATTTCATATTGGAATACAATTTTTAGTTAAATCTTTATACGAAAACATATGACTCACTAAGTTACATAAAATACGTGGAAGATGATGCTACAAATTGAATATTTAAAAAGGAAATACATTTTGCTAATATAAATTTTGTATATTGATATTGATAAAAAATAATAATGTATGATAAATTTGTTGTTTCTAATACAAATATCTTTAACGATTACTTGTTTGGTATGTGCACCGAAGACAAACCTATCAAGTCTTGAACAACTTTTATAAAAAAGATTTGTGATAGAGATAAAAAAGAATGAGATGAGTGACAAAAACAAGAAATTTATTCTTCATGTGAATTTCTTTGAGAATAAAACTTTTTTTGTGGTGTAAGTATACAAAGACATCAATGCTTCGTCATCGCATATAAGAGAAGTGAATGACTATGGCATAATAGGTTGTAAGACAGCAATATAACAGTAATAAAATTTGGGAAGGAAAATGAAATGACGGTATAATGGTTTTCGTAATCCTCTCTAAAAAAAACGTCCTCCAAGTATTCTGAGTATAAAAGTTCATATAACAGAAAAGGAAATGGCAGCAGTGAAGAAATGCACAGGACAAAAAGAAGAAGTCAGAGAATACATAAATGACAGCACACCCTCCCTCCTCTAACAAACTTCTATTTAATGAATCCCCGTCCAATCATAATCATTGAGTCTAATATTCTTTTTCCTCACGCGCCTGCTTCCACGTTTTTCTTCCACCCTCATGTTTTCATGGTCTTCTCTCGTTACAATTCCTCCTCCTTTAAAATTAACCTTGTCCTCAAGGTTGAATGTTGGGTAGGCTTTACGTAAGGCACTTTCATCTTCCCATGTAGGAGCTGATTCTTCTAACCCTTCCCATTGGATCAAGAACTGTTTTACTATCTTATTCCCTTGCATAATTTGACGATCTTAAAGCACAACAGCAGGTTGAATAACAGGGGGAGTCTCAGAATCAATAGTGAGTCCTGTTGGAAGGTCAAAAACTGTTTTGTATTGATGGAGCAACAATACAATATTCGACTCCATATTCTTTGGAAGATCCAGCCATTGATCTTGTATGGTGGGAGATGTTTGAACCTGCAAGGAGAATAACTCAGCAATTCCTTTGGTATGGCACATTCTCTTGAAGTGGTTAAATTGAGCTAGCTGTGGCAGGGATGAATGATCTCCATGCAGAGTCACAAATTTATTCCCAACATAAAATTTGATAGATAAGCTGCTATAATCAGAGACATGAGGTCCTAAAGTTGCCAACCAATCGTCTCCTAACACCAAATTAGCTCTTGAAATGGGAAGTAAGTATATTGGCAATTTTAGCAAGTGACCTTGAATCTTAACTTGTAAGTCCTTGATGAATCCTTCAGCTACCAAGGCATTACCGTTGCCCACTAACACTTGAAAATTGGGAATAGGCTCGACTGGAAGTTTCAAACAGTGAGCAATTCTGGGTTGCAGGAAATTATTTGAGCTTCCACTATATAATAAAACCTGTACCATCATGCCAATGATAGACCCTTTAAATTTCATCGTGCCAAGTCCTGAAGACCCTTTTAATGCATTGTATGAAAGGTGTTGTTCCACGATTGATGGAGGTTCAGCCTCCACAATGTCCTCCGGAGGGTCATGTTGGACATCAATAGGAACCTCTTCATCCACTTGTAAAACAAAATACTGCTTATTGGGACACCTATGATTCATGGTGAATTTCTCATCACATGTAAAACAGAGGCCCTTCTCCCTGCGTAATTGCATTTCTGCAGCAGTAAGTTTTTTTATGAAATTGGGTTTGGGGTAGGAACTGGATGTAGATGATTGCGGTAAGGATAATAAGGGAGGTAAGGTGGTTGATCGTATGGATTGTGAGGTTGTGGGGATGGTGTTTGTGGCTTGTGTTTTGGGATAATAGGAAGTGTTTGGTAACCTGGTTCTGGGAATGTACTTCTCCTCATGTAATTTGGCTAAGGACACACAACGCAGCAGAGAAGTGGGGTTTTGGGCAATAACATCACGTTTGAGATCTGGTTTTAAGCCGCCTACAAAGCAATCTAGGAGAGCCTCCGTCATGATGCCTTGGACACGGTTGGCCAGAGATGTGAATTGCGTATAATAGTCATGAACAGATGATGTTTGGGTGAGTTTAAACAAGGTGGCCCTTGGGCATTCATATGGTGTAGGACCAAATTCAGTTTCCAAAGCACGAGTAAAAGCAACCCAAGTTGGAAAGGCATTGGCACGATTTTGCATCTGAAACCAAGGGATTACCTCTTTCTCCAAATGAATGGAAGCTATGATCAGACGTTGATCATCGGTTGTGCGGTAGTAAATGAAAAATTGTTCTGCTTTGAAGATCCATTGAAGAACGTCAGTACCGTCAAAGCGAGGAAAATCAATTTTAACATTACGCACTTGGAACGGTGGTGGCTCAGTGGAGGGTGGTGGTTTCGTTTGAAGCAAGGACCCCAACGTAGATTCAAGTGTTTGGAATCTGTTTTCTGTATCTTGTTCTCGTAATGTCATATGTTCCATCCACTTTTGTAACTCTCGCTCACGTCTTTCCATGGCCTCCGCGATGCGACAAACTTCTGCCGGAAGGTCCTTGAGACGAGCTATTTCAGTAGCTAGTTCTTTTAGTCTCGTGTTTTCGGCCATAGTTCAGAGAATGAAAGCACCAGTGTAAGACAGCAATATAACATTAATAAAATTTGGGAAGGAAAATGAAATGATGGTATAATGGTTTTCGTAATCCTCTCTAAAAAAAATGTCCTCCAAGTATTCTGAGTATAAAAGTTCATATAACAGAAAAGGAAATGGCAGAAGTGGAGAAATGCACAGGACAAAAAGAAGAAGTCAGAGAATACATAAATGACAGCACACCCTCCCTCCTCTAATAAACTTCTATTTAATGAATCCCCGTCTAATCATAATCATTGAGTCTAATATTCTTTTTCCTCACGCGCCTGCTTTCACGTGTTTCTTCCACCCTCATGTTTTCATGGTCTTCTCTCGTTACATAGGTTTGATCATCTAAATTTCCAACATTTACATAAGCTTAGTCACAAGAATATGAGACTAGACTCCCCTCAATGGTGATTACAGAGAAAGTATGTAGAGAATGCATTCAATGCAAACAGACCAGGCCAAAGTTCAAGAAGTTTGTAGCCAACAAAGCAATTAAGAAGCTTGAGTGTGTGTATTATGATGTTTGCAAGCCAACGCAGGTCGAAACACCTGGTGAAAATAGGTATGTTGTGTAAAATAGAAAAGTGGCACATACACGTTGATATTGAACTTTATAATTTTATTTCATTGATGAATATCACATGTCTTAAATAGCCTTAAGGCCAAGAGATAAATACAATAATCTTAATGTTTTAAGCATAAAATAATTAGAAATATATTGCTACAATAATTATAAACAGTAAGATGGTTACTACGTACAAAATAAATTATAACTCAAATGAAATTACTTAAACATCCCAATTTAAGTTTATAGTTTTATGTAATCATATAAAACGATGTTGTAAGTAATGGTTTCATGAACATATCAACTATATGTTCTTTGTTTCTTAGGTATTCCAACTCTACGCTTTCTTCCTTCATCTTCTTCTAGATAAAATGAAAATGGATATCAATGTGCTTCCTCCTTTTGTGGTTGACAAGGTTCTTTGCCAGCTCAATTGTTGATTGTTATATACTCGAATTATCATATTCTCTTCTTGTTTTATTTTCAATTTACATAGCATATTTTTAATCCATACTACATGCTGCACACTTCAGAGTGTTACTACATACTTGGTATCATATGGATAGCGTCACAATGGATTGTTTTTTTTATAGTCAAGTAAAAGTTGTGTTCCCCTAGGAAACATAGTTTGTCGTACTCTTTCGATTATCCATGTCTCCACACGAACCACTATCTGAGTATTTACTAAGTCAATAATTATCCGATTTGGTATAGAACAACCTAATATTTGTTTCAATGTTTTCCAATAAAAATACTTTCATTCCTTCATAAAACGACTAGTTATTCTCACACTTAGTATAAAGTATGACCATATGTTCTTCAAGTACCTCAAATTTTCAATCAAGTTATGATATCAGCTTGCTTCAATTGGGTCTTCTCCATGTGTTGGATAACTTCAAGTAGAAGTCAGATTGCATTTCATCATCTTTGTAATATCTCATTAGCACCTTTTTTGGGACACAAAAATCTTCCATATATATATATATATAACACGTTATTTTTTTCAATGAAATGTAAATATTGATAACTTAACATGTAAAAATAAATAAAAATGGGACACATAAATATTATGAGAATGTATTGAGAATTGTTATTTTCTTTACATCGCATATAAACGAAGGAGGGGATTTAAATATTTTTATTTCCATTTCAAAAAGAATATTATAATTATTTTTATTATAAAATTCAATATAAATTTGTTTACATCGTATTATTGTGTTTGTTTACATTATGAACATATTAAAATAATTATAAAATGAAGAAGGCTTAATTTAATTTCACAGTACCGAATTAGTAAAATAAGATTTATAGTTTATAATTTAATCATATTTTAGTTAATATAATTTTTTAATAAAAATTCTAAATAGATAAAATGTATTTTATTATTTTAAGATAGAAATGATTGTAAGACAAAAAAAAGAAAATAACAAATATGTATATCTTATAAAATGTCATACATTATTCATGCTAATGCTAATATTTAATCAAATAAGCTATTATTTATTAATATTGAGACAGATAAAAACAATACATTTCTATATAGGCCTAATTATATTATAAAAGAATTACTTTTATATGAGAAAAAAAATATATAGAAAAAAGTTGGATGAAATATTACTTCATTATTTTTTGACCTGGACACACCAATAAGTTGCCAATATGACTTAAGACAAACTGTTTTATAAAGAAATATCCAGAAAAATAACATAAGGAAAAAATAAATGAATTTTTAAAGATAAAATTAATTTATATAAAAAATAAAAATTGAAATTTAGAGAGCAATTATATGGAAAAAAAAGTTATTCAATTTCCATTTCACAATGACAATCTTCTATGCAAAAAAATATATAATTTGCACTTAAGAAAGAAAACAAGTTAAATATTACTTTTGTATAAATTACCCTCTATTCCAGAATTTTATTTTACCGTCTAAATAAAATTAATTACATATTACTTTTAAAATATTATTCCCTAAATTGCGACTGATATTAGTATGTGAACCAATATTCCTAATGTTAATTCTTGAAAAATAAAGTCTAACAAAATCTGAAATGGACATTGTTTTGGTTCATAATCAAGGTTTCATAACCGAATCCATTACATAACCAAAGTCTTTTCTTTTTGTTCTATTACTCCAAATACACGCAATTTAAGTCCAAACCCTTGATGCTTGAGGGTTTAAGAGATAAAGCAATTTACGCAAGAGTGCAACTATAAAATGCAGTATGATTAAAAAAAATTAATCATTTTAGAAGTATTATCTGAGACAAATTTTAATTAATATAAAAACTACTTTTAATATAACCAGAATTATCAGATAAATTTAAACTAAATTAAAATAATGAAACTCAGGGAGTATTTTTATGCTTCCTGCTGTGAGGTTAGACTCAAATTTGGATCTTCATAAAAATGAATTTTAGCTTGCTTTATTTAACAAAACTTGATCCCCCAAAAGTTCGAATGAAACTCAAAAAAGACAGTCATCTTTAAACTAAAGTAGTGAAAAATGGTCTAAATTACATTGAACAACTTGTGATAACCTCTCAAAAACTCGAAAATATCACAACCAAGTTATAGCTAATCAAAGCAATTGGAATATGAAACTGAGGAAGCTAATAACATATTCTCATTCTTTGTATAGGATCCGAATATTAAGACTAGTGAGAAGATGCTGAGGATAACTAAGGCAGATAAACTTTTCCAGTAAAGACTGCACCTTAGAGTGATGGAACCAAAAATTTTCCTCTGGACATATCAGCATCACATCCCTCAAACTCATATAGTTAACACAAACATGACTCCAGAATACTCCTTTGTGTCATTGTACTGCCACATTTTACATATCAGAGACGGACCAAAGATAAGCTTCTCTGTCTCTGGCTTGCCTCTCATTTGTTCTCTTAAACATATCCTTTTCGAACCCTGCAAACGGCAGCGATGAGTCAATCATTTAAGGCTATTTACATGAGAAAAGGGAAGGAAGAATCAAGAACCAACCATTACTGCGATCAACACCATCCCAGTGTCGTCCGGGCCTTATTCCATAGCGATTTGGGGCAGCGTCTAAACCTCTTTTTAACCAGCTATGATTTGGAATATCCTGCGGGACTACAAAACCTGATTCCTTCATCTTCTCATTTTCCCCCAAGTTTGGAAGAACAGGCTCTGGATATTTTTTCTGCAAATGACAATTGGCACAAGAAACATGTAAAAACTGATCAAACTCCATCTCACACACCAAGCAACATAAAATCTTTTGAATTACCTTTACTAGATGTGCCATGGGATCACCCCACCTTAATCTCTCCTTAAACATTTTGTCTAGTTCAGGATCATCTCTGTAAGACACAAATGCACATACAGCATAAGAGACACTGAGACGAGAAGGAAAAGAGAACCTTAATCAATGACATCAACTCACAATTATACATCGGCATTCAAATAATGACAGTCCAGAACTTGCTCCCAGTGGGATTTTAACTAACATACAAATAATTTATAAGTAAATTTCCATGCTGGTACATGGTAAACTAAGTAACTATATGGCACTGACACCCCCCTAAAAAACGAACTTAAGGTCAAACAGGTGCAAAAAAGACCATCTCTTGTGATTAAATTCATGATAATCCAGATTACCTCAAAATATATTTAATGATGGTCGTGAATTTCTATTTAAATGATAATCTATATACATGAATGGGGACCGAAAGAAAAACTTTTATCTTCAGTATCCTGGAGCATAAAGTAAAATATGTATCAAAGAAGATGGATCATGACAAAGCAATTGGGCTAGATATGATAATCGCTGAGGCATTAAAGAGTCGACGATAGAGAGACAAGAGTTGGCTCACAAAAATTCTTTCACAAGATTACCAGGTTTACGAAAAATTCAAACCACTTAAGAACAATTGTCACCAACTCGTGTCCCATATACACATGGTATTTTGTATACCCCATATGATGTTTGTACATCATAGGTTGCTATAATATTATGATAACAAATTTTGAACAATCTAGAAACCATGTTTCTAAGTACTTTATGCATACCTAGTCCGTGCAAAAGGCTTCTCCTTCTCAAGTTCTAGTTCCTTCAGTCTAGCCTCAGCTTCACGCTTTTGAGCTAAGCCCTTACCCCATTCTATTTCTATCTCCTGAAAATCACAAAGATAGCCAAGAATTCAGCTTACTAGTTTTCATGGAGAATCATGAATAACATCAATGTTCTGACATACTTAAGATTTTAGAGAACTTAGTGAGTCTCTTGCTACTGACTTATGTATATATTGTATTCATATATAAAAGGTAGCGTTCAAAAAGAAAAGAAAAGAGGACAGGGGTCAGCCTATGATCCCTAAAGATAATACATCAAGAAACAGCTTTATAAAAAGCTCAACAACAGATAAAAAGAAGGACTATTTTAACACACTTAGAAGTAACATTCAACTTCAATTACACCACAGGGACCAAATGATAACAAATATGACACGGTTTCATGTCCTTTTTGATGTAATTGTAATATTAGTAGAAATAATATCAAGCACCAATAATATATTTTAGTTAAAATGTATTTCCATGGAACAAATAACTTACTGCTCCATTTTACTACAGAATTTTAGATAACTCACCTAGTCACAATATAACAATCAATCTTACTCTTTTGGATATAATTTGATCCTTATCATTTCTTTTGTTCTACCAAGTCAACAAATCTCCTAATCTGTTGCATGTAAGTCTTACAAAATCAACCTTTTAATTATGCTCACTGCACATTACCAAGTCAATCTTCACACCATCATTGAAATTCCAGAAAATATCCAAGTGAACAAAACAAACTAAGTATCTTTTCGGCCACTCATTGCATACAAACAAAAAAAGGATCCTCATAAGGAATCATACTTTCTTCATATATATGATATGCAGCCAGTTACCCATTAGAAGCATACCAAAAGCTACATCTAGAAACGATACAACAATGCTGAAAAAATTATGCCGTGCACCAAATACCTTGGGTTTTTCTTCTACTTTCTGCTTTGATTTCAAGTATTCCTCCTTTGAAATGCGTACTCCTGCAAAATTCAGCATTTTGTTTTACAAAGGCGTCAAATCAGATACATTGACCGAAAGCATCAACAAAAATCTGACTAAAATTTTGACCTTTTATTTTATCACGATATACAGGCTCGGCACCACGTCCACTAATGGAAGGGTCCATCTGGTTAAATCTGCACAAAACATAGTTATCAATGCAATGGTGCAATGTGAAAAAACTGACGCCAAAACTTCCATAGAAATACAGAGGGAGCAACCACCATTTATATTTGTATAACTGAAAGAAGGGTTTCAATTATATGAAAGGGGAATTGCAAGATTAAAACAACTGAACAATTACCTCAACATATCATCCCTCTTCTTTTTTTCAATCTCGTCGCTTATATCTTTACCAGAAATTAGACCTGTTTTACTAGCTGGATTTGATGAATCCTTAGTATTTTTCCTTGGTGGAGATAGGTCAGGATCCGAAGATGGATGTGAACCAACTTTAACTGAAATACTGGACGAACCCAGTCTTCCAACATTCTTCTGAATTTTTCTTGGGGGTGAAAGGTCTGACACTACAGATCCATGTAAAGCATCTTGAGAAGGAGAATCATGACGACCACGTCGAGGTGGAGATAGATCTTGAGGTGAATGGTGGTGAGAATCAGAAAAACCAGATCTTGCAACATTCTTTTGGATTCTCCTCGGGGGTGAAAGGTCGGGTGCCACAGATCCACGCAAAAGATCTTGAGATGGAGAATCATGACGATTTCGTCTAGGTGGAGAGATATCTTGCAAATCAGAAGTCTCATAACCGTGACGGTCTTGTTGTGATGGAGAGAAATCTTCAGGTGAACGACCACGAGAAACATCAGGCAAACCAGTTCTTGCAGAATTGTTCAGGTTTTTCCTTGGGGGTGAAATGTCCGATGCCACAGATCCACGTGAAAAATCGTGAGGGGGAGAATCATGACGACCTCGCCGAGGGGGAGAGATGTCTTGCAAATCTGAAGTCCTATAATCTGGTGATGGGGTGTCATTGCGTCTCAACCGCTGACCAGGTGATAAATCAGCACTTTTTCTTTTACGGGGAGGAGACATATCATTGTTTGAGTCGATAAAATCTTCAGGTTTAGAGGAAAGCGAAACCCAACCACTTCCATCCTCAGATATAGCGTGATAAGGACGTCTCGCCCTCAGCTGCTCAAGCCTCTTCATACGCTTCACATCAATGTCTTCATCAACTAGTGGTTTCTCTTCGTCTACATAAACCAATAAAATTTGGTTATATGAAATAATATTATATACAGAAACCAGTAATGGTAAATTCTCTAATATGAACGAACATTTATATTTTTATAATATACCAGATGAATTATCATTGTTTTCTTCTCCAAGATCTATGGGTTTCTGCCACATTGGATCTTCATCCACGACTAATAAGCCAGTGGTTTGTGGTTGATTTTTCTTCTTCTGCTTCTTCTTTTTTTTCTTCTTCTCTTCTTCTGTGTTACTTTCATACCGTTTCAAATAATCCTTCAATGAATTGGACCCCATTTTTAAGTCAACAATGTCCACAGTTTAGCCTCTACAGTTACCTACCACAGTGTAATGTTTTATTAGGTGATGCTTCGCAGACTTTCAGAAAGTAAAAAGTAGTAAACCTGAGACTCTAATCTATATAGCCTCCAGCCATAACAACTCATGAATGATATCTCCATTATATTATTTATTATATAATAATTGATTATCTAATATCTCTAAGATATTATGATATAATAATTGATTATCTAACATCTCTAAGATAATAATACTTGAAGATATTTCATAATATCTTGAGGGTATGCACAAATTGTCTAATGTAAGTATTGAGATTAAAAACACAGAGAAGTGGATCTGTATTAGATAAGTGAAGAGCTTATTTCACCCTTCTTCTCCATCCTTTATTTATAGGATTATAACAATGGAAGACAACTAAGATTAAAATGGAAAACACTCACACACAACTCATACCCAACTAATACACAACTCACACACAGCTAACTCAAACACAAGCTAATTATTCTAATACTGTTACATACCTGAGTTTGGGTCGTAACCGGTAGGCTCACTCACACATTCGCACAGATAAGGAACACTGGAAATTTACTGAATTTCTGTTATTGAATAGAAAATACTGCACCAAAGATAACAACCAATAACTGGGAGCAAGATCTCCGTCAGTTACCTGAGAGCATAACCTTTACAAATCTCACACATAAAAACATGTCTTTAACCCTAGACTCTATCTTTATTTATACTAATCACTCTCTCCCAAAAAGGTAAAGAATCATAGTAATTATGCCTATTTATTAAGATTATCGGGTAAGAATATCTTCACCCTTATTTACTATATTTAATTTATATTTAATAATATCATGAGATACGCCCTTAAATTCTAATAAATTTCCCGCCCATCCTAACTGTTGTGTCAGTTAGGATGCTCCCCGCTGCTCCCCACCGTTTGGCGCTCTTTCCCTCTTCCTTCTACCGCTCGGTTAAGTCTCTATCCCCCTTCTATCATCTGGACCGCTCGCTCGTTCCTTGTCACTAACCGTTCGGCCATCGTGCTCCCTCTTCCTTCTACCACTCGGTTAAGTCTCTCTCCCCCTTCTATCATCTGGACCGCTCGTTCCCTGTCGTTAATCGTTCGGCCCATATCCTCTACTGTTCGGTCCTCTTTCTCTCTTCCTTTTACCGTTCGGTCTTCATGCTCCACCCTCTCCACCGTTCGACCCATATCCTCTACCGTTCGGTTTCCCTCTTTTTCTCTCCTATATCTCTTTCTTTTGTATACTCGCCAGCCCCTAACAAATACTCCTCTTCAAGCTAGAGCATATAGATTGTATGAACTAAACTTGGAATATATAAACTCAATCTGAGATCTCTTTAGGAACTTAGTCAATACATATGTAAGTTGGTCATTTGATCCAACAAAATCAACTTGTCTTGAATAAGACAATAGACGTGGGTACTTAGGCTAACAACAAGATGCACTTCAGACCGTCGAGAGAGAATGTCTGTAAACCAAATTGGACACACAAATCAACGTAGCCAAAGAGACTCCTCGTGAAATATATGACTCGTCTTTAGGAGTGTGTGGCAAACAGATGATAGTGGTCAGCGAATCACAAAAGTGTAAACACAAATTGACGAACAAATAACAGCAACTTATGGAGAAACCAAGGATCTTGGAAGCCTAAAATACTTCTTAGGCATTGAAGTAGCTCAGTCTAAAGATGTAGTTGTAATCTCCCAAAGGAACTATGCCCTTGATATTTTACAAGAAACATGCATGATTGATTGTAGACCAGTAGACAGTCCTATGGACCCAAATAAGAAATTAATGACAGAAGGTGAGTTATTCTCCGATCCGGAGACATATGGAAGGTTAGTTAGAAAATTGATTTATGTCACTATTCCAAGGTCGGATCTATCTTTCACACTTGGAGTGGTTAGTCAGTTCATGCAGGCTCCATGTGTTGGCCATTGGAATGCTATCATTCGAATTCTAAGGTATGTAAAAAAGGCTCCCGGACAAGGGATTGTTATATGAAGATAAGGGAAGCCTTCAATTCTCTGGGTACTGATTCGCCTATTGATAGACGATCTACTGCTGAATATTGTGTTTTTCTTGAAGGAAACATTATTTCATGAGAAAGTAAGACACAGTCTGTAGTGGCTAAAAACGACAAAATGCAAGGACTAAATTGCCATCAATAGCTGATGGGAGGCCTACAATGGCTTAAAGTGATAAATTACAGGGATTAAATTGCCATCAGTAACTGATGGGGGCCTGCAATGGCTGAAACATACTCCGCCTCACGACATACAATGGAAATGACAATGCACCGGATAGACCGTGAAGGTTGCAGATCTGGCTCTTCAAGAGACTTTTCCACAAGGGATGCAAGGGTTCGACAAAATTGGAGAGGCAATGAGAACCCACATGTAGGGAAGAAGACTATGGTGCTGGTAGTGATGTCGTTACGAGCGACACACATGGCTGTTGAGTGACAATAAAGACTTTGATTTGCACTATACAATGTGACTGATTGACAAAATAATGAAGGATGTCCAAGACTTGACAGATTTCCCAAATCATTGGGAATTGACCCATTGAAGTAACTGAACGAACAATCCAATTTTTTTCAGGAAAACAAACCAATACACATCTGAAAGGGGCTAGTGAGCTTGTTGACTGAAATTCTGAATCTCACCAGAAACACACTCCCCCTCATGCCATGACCAACCACACTCCCCCTCATGCCATGACCAACCTTCAACCCATGACTTGGTGGTGAAATTTCTTAACTAGCTGGAAATTGATACTGATAGTTGGTAGAAAGATAAGACAAACCCCGAGCTGCACCAATAGTTATTTTTAGTTGAGTGTCCCAAGACAGGTTCTGTGTTATTATTTCTCCAACAATAGATGAGTCTCCAAGCTTCTCTTTGGCATGACTTCGTACACAAGGAGAAATTGCACATCGTCACAGTAGTAACCCAAAAGCTTCATTATGTTTGGGTGAGAAACTATTCCCAAATGTGATTTATGACTGCCACTCCTGAAGGCCCTCATACTTTCGGGATTCAACTTTTTTTTTAGTTACCATGAACAAAGGGTCGAATCAGCTAGGACTGATTTTGAGACAACAGGTCTAAAAAGTTTAGTCATGGTGAAGGGTTAGAAAAAGTGCATAAAGAAAGACCAAGCGGTGGTGCACAAGAAAATAGAAGATGAAAGCAAGTGGTGGGGGCAAAAACCAGAACACCACAAGGAACCATGGCTAGATTGTGTTGTAAGCCTTTGATTGAGCGAACCTTGGTGGCTTCTATTGGTGGTACTTAAGAGGCGCAAAAAGGGTGATGAAGAATAAGTTCGTGGTTCAACAATTGCATAACGAAAACTGAAAGAAATTGGGGATTTTTCGATTTTAGGGTTTCACAGAGAAATTGGGATTTCCAAGTGTTGAATATAGTGAAAAACTATATTTGGATTAATCTCCCTTATGTTAAATACACACATAGGGTTCTCTATTTATAATAGAAGAAATATGGGCTAAGCCCAAAATACAAATGAGAAATAATAACAAACTAACTAAAAGATAAAAGATGTAATATATCTAACACTCCCCCTCAAGCTGGAGCATACAAATTGTATGAACTAAGCTTGGAATAGATGAACTCAGTGTTGAACTAGATGATTTGTCTTCAAGAGTGTGAGGCAAACATAGATGGACTAACAGCAGCTTGTGAAACTTCAACTTCAAAAGTAGGTGAAGGAGAGCAGTGGTGGACAATGACAAACTGCAAGGACTGATTCCCAATCAATGATGGATGAGTGACGGGATCAACAGTAGTAGCTGAAATCTACAAAACTGCAGGGACTACACTAAATCCTCATCAATGATGGTTGGGTGACGGGATCAACAGTAGTAGCTGAAATCTACAGAACTGCAGGGACTACACCCATATTTATGTGACTTGCAGTGTCTGGGAAACGTATTCCCCCTTAGTGTGAACTCCCCCTTAGTATGAAGGGCGGAAATGTGGAATATCACAGTTGTTGGACCACTAAAACAAAACAAAATATTAAGCTACAATGCTGAAACAAAATATTAAGTTGACGGCTATAAAACTGCAAGGACTAAATTGCCATCACTGACTGATGGGGCCTGTAGTGGCTGGAAGCGACAAAACTACAGGGACTGCCATCACTAACTGACGAGGTGATGGGGGCCTACAGTGGTTGGAAGCGTCTGGACAGCGGCAAACTGCGCCTGGACAGCGGCAAACGACGCCTGGACAATCAACGGCGGAGACGAAGACAGACGAAGATGTCAGCAATGGTTGCTCTGGAAGGTCTGAACAGAGAGAGGGAGGTCCAGCGAGAGCTATGGAGGCGTCGCGGTGAAACTCTGACACCGGGAACGCGACGCGTGCAGAACACGCGCCCGAGATCTGAAGAGGAGAAGGCGGCGCGTGGAGGCGCTTTGAGCGGAGTCTGTGCTTGTCTACGGCGGGGTTGGCCGTCGCTCGAGGAGACGCTTCAGATCTGCTGGTCACCGGTCGAAACTGTGACGGCGACCGGCGGCCGGCGACGGACTGGCCGGAAAGAAGCGTTGCGTGGCAGCACGTGACTGAGAACTGGCTCTCGAAACCGGCGTGGTTGGCCGTCGCTCGAAGGGACGGTCCAGATCTGCGGGTTACCGGCTAAAACTGCGGCGGTGACGGCGGCTGTCGGCGACGGCGGATAGCGGCGAAAAGTGGCGGCGACAATAGTGGCACTCTGGATTTGGATTGGTGCTGATTGTGGCACAGATTTAAGAGAAAAAGAAAGTGAGAAGGGCTGTCCATTGAAATTTTAGGGGCTGCCGACGACCATGGCGGCCGACCGCCGGCAGACAGCAGAGTCCCCAGAAGAAGATCAGAGAACCTACTCTGATACCATGTTGAATATAGTAAAAAACTATATTTGGATTAATCTCCCTTATGTTAAATACACACATAGGGTTCTCTATTTATAATAGAAGAAATATGGGCTAAGTCCAAAATACA